AGTCATCCAACTTCTATCACTTATCATCGATTGATGCGTCTCAGCAGATATCAATGAAATTAAACACTTTATTTATAAATGACATAGCAACCAGCACGTTTGTCGTCCGGGCTTTCAAAAATCATAAAAATTAAAAGATGAATGTTTCCCTTTTCACAAACAAGTTCGTGCGAAACAAGGAACCGCTGTGAGGCTCTGTAAGAGTGGGCAGTGTTGAGTGTACTCCCCTCCCTTCGCTTTTTGTGAAAATTTGTTTCCCAACGCTCATCGTCAGAAGTGACATATATAGACGCCATCATCTGTCCTGCGCCCAGCATCTCCCTCCTGCAACGCGCCGGCGTGAGACGACACACGCCCGCGCCTTATTGGTTCAAGCTAACATCGTCAAGGCGACCAAAGAACCAACACATGCGCACAGACGAATTTTCAATCAATTTGAAATGAAACTGTCACCATGGATTTTTATTTATGTTTACGTTTAGTGTTGATTGTTATAATTTGTGATTAGGCGCTTTTATAGGACATTTTTGTAGGATAAAAATAACCATAAGTATATAACAGTGAGTGACTGTTGCCTCGGATGGAATGCTGTGTTTGCCAAAGGATTTTTTCATCGGGAATAGGCCTACGTATCCACCAGGGACGTATCCATCAGGTCCGTACAACCCCTATTTCATCTTCATCACACACCCCGGCTCCCTGCTCCCATCCTCCATTACCTCCCACCCCCGACACTCCTCTTCAGACTCTCCTCGGCCAACTCAAGCAGTCAACTCCCATTATAAAACGTATTCCACGCGGTGCCCGGTCGACGGTTTCAGAGGCATTAGCGGCCGCAATAAATAATTGCGTTAGAAACAACAATAGTAATTCTTGGCATGACCTTCTTACCTTTTCGTTCAAAATTCTCCATGTCTCAGATGAATCCAACAGTAATATTTCCCTAACGCAAAAAATAAAAAACAACACTTTAAATCCGTCTATACCTATTTGCGATCCCTCGTCTGGAACCCACAGAAAGAAGTATGACTTGTTTGGGAAGGTCGAGGATAAAATACACGACGGTGATCTCAAAGGAGCAACACGCCTTTTGTTCTCAAACGACACTTTAGCACCCGACACGCCGGAGACCAAAGCCGCATTACAGTCCAAACACCCCCCAGGCCCTTCCACCCCGATTTTTGTAGACCATCCATCTGACCCCCCAGGCTGCCTCCACGCCACGGTTAGAGACGTTCTAACAGCCCTCGCCTCGTTTCCAAAAGGATCGGCGTCTGGTCTAGACGGCATATCCCCACAGCATCTGATTGACCTTACCAGCTACGGCTCTGGTGTAGCTGGTGAACAGTTGACCACAAGCCTCACAAAACTGGTCAATCTCATGCTTCTGGGAGATGTTTGCCCGGATGTGACGCCGCTGATATATGGAGCAAATCTTATTGCCTTGGCAAAAAAGGATGGTGGCGTGCGCCCCATCGCAGTAGGTTCTACATTCCGACGTTTAGCAGCCAAGATCTGCGTCCGACTCACTAGATCAAAATTACAGGCCCTCTTTGAACCAGTACAAGTTGGATTTGGAACCCGTGGAGGTTGCGAGGCAGCAGTCCACGCTGTACGTACCTTCCTTAAAAGTGATTCATGCGAGGTTCTTCTAAAATTAGACTTAAAAAACGCATTTAATTCGGTCAATAGGGACACTCTGCTAAAAGAAATTAAAATACATGTCCCGGAAATTTATAACTTCCTTCTCCAGTGCTACCACTGCCCCTCAAAACTAGTTCATAAATCCAATGAGATTATTTCGGCCGTAGGCTGTCAGCAGGGTGATCCCCTAAGTCAAGCAATATTTAGTTTGGCAATAAATCCGATAATCCACTCCCTAAATTCAAAATTAAATATTTGGTACCTCGACGATGGGACCTTGGCCGGAGACGCGCAGACAGTCCTAGCTGATTTGGTGCATGTTAAACAGCATTTCAATCACATTGGTTTAGAATTAAATTATGACAAATCTGAATTATATATTTCGGACCAAGTAAATCCACTAACCGCTTCCCAGATCGCTCAAAATTTTAACAACATTGCCCTTAACATTAAAATAGTAACGAAGGACAGTCTGCACCTCCTCGGCTCCCCCATCTTTGAGGAGGCCATTCCTCTTCTCTTAAATAAATCAACAACAAACTTCAGCAAGTATTCGGACCGCCTTCTCAAAATTAGTAGCCACTCAGCTTTATTTATTTTAAAATTCTGTCTGTTCGTCCCTAAATTCACTTACATGCTTCGCTGTTGCCCCATTTGGAAATTCCCCCATTTGATCACACCTATTGACACTCTAATGAAATCCAAAATTGAAAACATCCTGAACATTCACTTGAGCGAACAGGCTTGGACCCAAGCCGCTTTACCAATAAGGAACGGCGGCCTGGGAACACGCAAAATTTTAAGTGTGGCTTTGCCTGCATTCCTGTCTTCAATCCACAGCACGCTAGATCTCGCAGGTAGAATATTAAAAGCCCCAGCGGGCATTAACTGCGAGATTGCATGTTTGGACGAGGCCACGAATGCATGGCTAGCTGGACCGAGTCCAAATCTCCCATCCAAACCACATAAGCAAAGGGCCTGGGATACAATAGCGTCCGTCGCCACCTTACAAACTTTAATAGAGCCTTCAACTGACAGGGACCGGGCCAGGCTATTAGCTGTGTCCAAGCCAGAATCTGGTTACTGGCTCCAGGCATATCCCTCGCCCAACACTGGGACTTTTATCAACCCGGACACTCTACGCATAGCCGTCGGTCTCCGGCTGGGAGCTGGGATCTGCACAGGTCACAACTGTGCTTCTTGTGGGGCTCCAGTGGACCGACTCGGCCACCATGGCCTCTCCTGCACCTCGGGCGCCGGCCGCCTGTCCCGCCACGCTGCTCTCAACGACATTCTCAGAAGGGCGCTCGTCAGTGCCAACGTTCCCGCCGCTCTGGAGCCCCAGATTGTGCGGAGCGATGGCAAGCGCCCTGACGGAATGTCGCTCATACCCTGGAAGTCGGGCCGTGCGCTGGTGTGGGACGCCACCTGTACAGACACCCTGGCGGCGTCCTATCTACCAGCAACTACCAAACGTGCGGGGGCGGCGGCGGACGCCCGGGAACGCCTCAAGGTCTCTAAATACAGCTGTCTCGGCGCCCAATATCTGTTTTTTGCTTTCGGCGTCGAGACACTAGGTCCCTGGGGCAAAGGTGCGCTGGAGCTCCACAGGGAGCTCAGCAAAAGGTTGAGGGAGGCAACAGGCGACCCTCGTGCCGGCGGCTTTCTCGCGCAAAGAATTGCAATCGCAGTTCAGCGCGGGAATGCTGCCTGCGTGATGGGCACCCTGCCAAGAGGCCCAGGCCTCTTTTTTAATTAGTTATTTTATTTTATTTTTAAGGTTTAGTTTTAGTTATTTTAATTTAATAATAGTTTTAGTCTTGTTTGTTTAGATTAAAATATGAATATTTTATGTTAAGAAGTGTTAACAAATATTTTGTAATTTTTTTCTTGCGTAAAAATTGAATTATAACAAATATAATTCAATTTTTACGCAAGAAAAAAATCATTGAAGAGAAAGATTATAAAGATGTCTAAGCTTAGTGATTTAAAAATGTTTGTGAATGTGAATTATTAGACCATCCGCCGTACAGCCCCGACCTAAGCCCTAATGATTTCTATACTTTCTCTAAAATAAAGAATAAATTACGTGGACAGAGATTTCCATCACCTGAAGAAGCTGTGGACGCCTACAAAATAGCCATTTTGGAGACCCCAATTTCCGAATGGAATGTTTGCTTCAATGATTGGTTCCATCGTATGGAAAAATGTGTCAAATTTCGCGGAGAATACTTAAAAAAGCAATAAATACATTTTTAAATAGTAATGTTGTGTCACTTTCTTGATTCCCGAAATTTTCAGTGCCGCCCTCGTATAACAGAAAATAATGCTTATAACCACCGATCAAAATTTATAAATGAAACGTCCAATATTTTCGGAAAAACATGTAAAGAACATTAAAGAAACAATTTTTTTTATTATTTCAAAACACTCAATGTGCGTACTTTCACAGCATCGCCCGACCAATTATAATATTAACTGGAATATCCCCAAGTCACGCTCAATGACCCTTTCTTAAACTGAACAGGTGATGTTTCTATTGGCATTTTATAAAAAAAATACCTTTCAAATAAATAATTTTCGACAACACTTAAAGCACACTTAGATTTGGAGTCGCTAGTCAAGTCCTGTCCTGTCCGGTCTCGGGAGGTAGGTTGTGCGCACAAAAATTAATTATTATTGTTCGACCCATATGCTGGGTGCTTGGTATGGAAAATGTTAAATTGCAATATAATCCAAAATCAAATCTGAGTTTCCCTTATTTTCTCAAATTGTACCAACCTATTGTTACAAATTATATAAACTATCTAAAAACCTGATTGCATAATCACAAACTTAAAAGATCAAATAACATACAGTCGATGGCACACAATTTTTCAGGTAATGCATCAAAATCTGTTCAGTAGGTGTTGGGGATTATAATAATTAGGATAAGTCTTACATTAGAGACTTGAATACATTCATGTGAAACAAAGTAATAAATTTATTGTAATGATTAATTTCAGAATGTAAAACAGTCCAGTGAAGCAACTGCACAGCCATAGTTAAAAGTGCCAATGTTGGAAATTGAAAATATTGTAGTGGAACTTTGTACCAGTGCAATGTCATCAACACAAACTTTAGTGAACGTCCCGAGAACAACTGGATTCATTGACAGCGTGCAGGTGCATTTTCGATTTTTTGTTTTATATTTTTTTTAAATAATAAGATAGAGAGGAGTACTAAATATGTGATTTGGGTATTTATGTGTTTGTGTGAATTCTGATGCTATGACTGTACTTTTTTTTAATTATTTATATTATTAATTTTTTTTATTAATTATTCATATTAATGATTTTAATATAAAACAAATTCGTGATTCTACATAAGATATTTATTACCAACTGACAAATACATTACAATTTTAAATTATGTGAGTGCTGGTATCGGTCCCTAAGAGTGAATACTTATAATTTCAGAATGCACCAATAACTAAAAACCTCAATGTGGTAACCTGTAGCTAGTCAAATTTGGCCAAGAAATGAACTAAAATCCTATTTAACCTAGGTGTCACAAAAGTAAGCCAACTGACACCGAGGAAAATAAAATTATATAAAATATACAGAAAGAAGATGCATGAGATAATACGATTACGTAACAAAATTAAGAATATTACGAGAGCGAAGATAGAGAGAGTTTTAGAAGATCAACATGTTGAAGAATTGTGTAATTTAAATATGAGCAATTAATTCATAACTTTATTACAAAATTGCCCAAAAACCAAAACGGAGAAGATATACTCTAAAACAAAAAATTTAGGCTTTGTTAATTTATAAAAAGTCCCCAGCCTATTACAGATTACTGAAGAGAATGTTTGCTTTACCATGTCAAACAAGTTTAAATCAACTCCTCAATAAAGTGCACTAAAAATAGGCATAAACAATCATATATTTAACTCATTGGAAAAAATGAGCCGGAACCATGATAAAAAAGATAATATTAGCATTTTATCATTTGATGAAATGTCTATAAGAAGACATATATATTACAACCAAAAGCTGGATGAAATACAGGGATTCCAAGACCATGGCAACCATGGTAGGACCGACGATATTGCCTCTAAGGCACCGGTATTCATGCTCACTGGGTTGAGAAAGAAGTGTAAACAGCGCATCGCATTTTATTTCCCCCATACTACGAGTATAAAGGCAAATAGAAACACCTTTAAAAAATGAAATACATGGCAGATAAGTAATTGCTAATAAAAGATAGAAAAAGTCAAGAATTGAAACTAATACATGAGAAGTACCGAAAACAGACAAAGAGATTAAAAAATACTAAGTCTGAAAGAAAAACAGTTGAAATGACTAAAACTCAAAAAAGTCAAAATAAAAAAGAAAGATTCGACTCAAAAACTATTTATTGAAACATCAAAAACTAAAATAAAAACAGCAATAGAATTTTTTTTCGAAGAGAAAGCCTCGGAAAGAAAGAATATGTAACACGACATAAAGTTACAAAATATAACCACCCAAAAATATCAAATATATCAAAAATTAATACAATTAAATTAAATTAAAAAAATAAAAAGTCAAATCTGAAATCAGGAGAATTCATTGTACACTGTGATTTCAGAGAAAATTACTATACGAAATACGCTTCTTATATACAGTCCTGTCGTTTTGGGAGTTCAAGACAACAAGTGACCCTACACACTTCTATCATTGATTCTTGATTTCTTATCATGATTACGAGACTGACTTATTTGCTGATAGCTTTAGGCAACTATGTAATAAAGCCCTTCTATTTTTGACATCCAATTTTGACATATTGTAATACGAGTATATTAATTTTTAATCTTAGCTTAGTTAATTTGACAATGATATTTTGTTTACTCTATTTGACATAATATAATCTTCTATTTGGCATCTATTTTTTTATCTATTTGGCATGTATTTTTTATTTTTTTATTTTATTTGGACATGTATCTTAATCAATTACTTATTATTTAAAAGTTTAATTTGTAAATTAGCATGCTGACGTTTTGGGGCATACTGTAAGCCAGCATGTACACTGTTTTAAAATAAATAAATAAATAAATCATTTATTACGTAAATAAACCGGTAAAGTGCGATTCGGACTCGCGCACCGAGGGTTCCGAACAAATTTGTAGAAAATTTTTAAGCCAACTTTAAAAATCAATAGTTTTAGGCTGGATTTTGTGCTCGAACGACTGTCAGCACGTACCGTACGCGCTGACGGTACGTCCTGATCGTCGATAGAGGCCAAGCGTTTAATGCTTAACTGACGGCAAGCTTTATTAGACGTGTACAATTACGAAGAAAAATTAATCCATTTGTTAACTCTATAATATGTGCGTACTATATACGCAAACGATTATGGCACAAAAGACGGAGAAGGTATCAGGTCCACCCAATAATTTTAGACCGTTTAATTGAAGGAGAATTTTGTTTATTGTATTCAAAATTGCGAGAACACGAGGAAATATTTTTTGAGTACTTCAGGATGTCTATCCGAAGTTTTGACGAGCTACTGACTAAACTTCAGGATAGCTTGAAGAATAACAACATGTTCCGAGTTCCAGTGCCACCATTAGAAAGATTAGCCGTTACCCTAAGGTAAGTACTTATTGTATTTAAGTACCTTTTTATTAATATTGTTTTTTTTTCTTATATTTCATAATAGGACAAAGAATAATTCAAAAATAATATTATGAGTAGGTACTTTGATTAAACGTACAAAAGTAGGTAGTATTATATTCTTGCAATGTATAGGCTGGGATCGATGAATCACTTGGTGCTACCAATTGTTGAGTTGCGGGTTCTTCCATAAAATTAGAACATTGTTCGGGAAGGGTTTGCAATGTGGATTGTTCTGATGAGTATAAAGTAAGTACACTAGGTTTCACTTATAACAACGGTGAAGGGACCGGTGTAATTTCGCCACTGTATCCGTAAGTCACTATATCCACTACGCCTATTAGGTAGAAGTGTGGAGAACAGAAAACTTGACATTAAGAAAGCATGAAAATAATATTTATTGTCAAAAAATACTTTTTTGCTTCTTTAATTTTTGGACCACATTAGAAGAGCACTTTCTATATCTTCATGAGATTGTCTACAATTACTTTTTGCAGTCAAAGATTTCCATAATTGATTAAAGCATTGCATAATTTCAGACTGGTTTTTCCACATTGTTGACACTGTATAATGCGAAATATTTAATTCTTTGCAAAAGTTAATATTGCTTTCACCATTCTGAAGCCTCGAAATAATATCTACATTTTCTTCAACCGTAAACGTTCTTCTAACGGGTGCTGTGATGAACAAACAATCTAACATCCCAAAAATCAGAGTAACTAATTTTAAGCGTATTGTCACAGCTGCCGAATATCTAGGATTACGAACAAAAGATAAGAAAGCTTAATGACTCTACAAATGAACCTTTGTGTATTTGTTTGTTGACTCGTTCATTATGTATAGACTGGGTCGTAAATACCTGTAAGAGATTTCAGGGAATTTTTTATGAATGACTCATTAAAACTGGTCGCTATACCCAAAATTGTTGTAATATCAGAAGCCGCTATAACCGAACAATTCTCTATCAGAAATTCAATGTATATCTGAATGTTTCAACATCGTAAAAAAATGACTTTCAATAAGTATTATGTAATAATCAATATTAAATAAGAATCATTCTATTCTATTCGTAGAAGAAGTATGGGACGTCCCAGGCCGGCCTTCACTAGAGCTGTTAGCAGATGAAATTTCTATCGCTTTTTTTAGTACTTCTGAACGGAACAGTAATTTTTGGTGGATAGAAAAAGTTTGCATGATCGGCAGAAGCGAAGAAAAAAATGACATATCATCGTTCTGCATCAGTTTTGTGTTTTCTTTAAAAATATTCAACATTACTTTCTCGAAATTGCCGTCTTCATCAGGAATTCTCTTACGCTTTCTATGCACATTTTTCCGTCTATTTGCAGCTGTTTCATTTGTTTGGGAAGTGTTGAAACCCTCAGACGGTAAAGGCAGAGCATTTTGGATTGATGAAGTGTTTGACGAAGAACCTTCTCCTGTATCAATAGTCTCGCTATTTGATCGGGATTCATTAATTGTGTCCTGACTTGTTAAAATTGAATCTTCTGTGTTGACTACTTGTTTTTTGTCTAAAAATTGCATACAGTCAAAAAATATATATTTCTTAATGTTTCCACCTCCAGATCCAGATTTTATATTCTTCAATGTGGCTTTGCTCCTTACGTAGGCATCGCGCGCGGTTTTCCACCGCTGTTGTACTTGTTTTTCTGTAAGTACAATGACTTTTAAAGTGTTTTATTTTGTTTCAGATACATTGTAACTGGACAATGCTACAGAGATATTTATTTTAGTTGCCGTCTAGGTACGGCAACTATGAAGTGTGTTTATTTTCAAATTACAAAAAATATTCTTCTGTTGTTCTATTGGCCTTGTGTGATTCTGACTTTCGCTTCACCTATATAAATGTAGGAGCATGTGGAAAAGATTCCGATTCAAATATTTTTAAGGAAAGCAGTTTCTTTACCAAATTAAATAACGGAGAAATTATACTACCTACATCAATACCTTTACCTAACACTACAGAACCACTTCCGTTCATGATTATTGGCGATTCTGCATTTGGTGTATCGAACAAAGTTTTAAGGCCTTACGCAAGATGTAATCTGACACATAAAAAGAAGATATTTAACTATAGATTAAGCCATACTAGAAGGTACATTGAGTCTACATTTGGAATAATGAGTAATAAATTTAAGATATTTCATAGACCAATGAATACTTCCTTGTCGAATACAATAGCAATTATAATGGCGTGTTGTGTGTTACATAACTACGTTAGGGAACGCGATGGTTACAGACTAGAGGACACACTGTTGAAGGGTTCGTATATCATAACCGCAACGTAAACCATAACATCAGGTCAGGCGATATGATAAGGGATAAATTTGCAAACTATTTCGTTTCTCCTGGTGGTAGTGTATCATGGTAAGATGCTTGTATCTTCTATTAAACTCATAATATAAAATATGCAGTTTTATTTACTCACTTACCTATAAGTTTTTTCTCATTAACTGATAGTTCGTCGTAGTTTTGGGTTATTGCTTGGCAAACTTCTAGCCAAGCTTTTATTTTCGCATCACGGTCTTTGTAATGCTCACAAGAGAGATCCCACAACACCGGGCGAAGGTGCACCTCAGAAATAACACGCTCGGTATCAATGTTGATTTTTGTTCGCGATAATGCGTACGCGCGTACGGTCGGTCGCTCTGTCAGCGTCGCACGGCACTAAAATCGTATTTTTAATTAAACGAAGCTGCCTGACAGATGCTAATGTCACTTTGTAAATAATGTTGTCAGGTTCATTGTAATAGTGATGCGTTCAGTCAATCAGTTAGTATACGATGACTTGATGATTATGACTAAAATTAAATTAACCTATCTTGATTGACATTGTGAAACTTGTTGACGAATATTATATCATTGAAATAAACAGAAAAAATATTGTTAGTAAGAATAATAATTTAATACTATTGTGACTCGAGAGGGCGCTCTGATTTTCGGAACGCACCCTGGGCCCGCCGTGTCGGTCGCCATTTTGTGTGTCATTTGTCTTGTCATTCATTCGGCTTCTAACCTCTTGTCTGATCGTTCGAATATTTTCTCTGCGCGCTGTTCTCCTGTTTCTTTTCTTTAGTTTCTTGTTAAGTTTTTTTGTTACGTTGTGTTTGTGTTGTTTGTTATTGTTGAGTTATTGTGTTTTTATATTGTTTTGTACAAACGATATGGAACCTCAACCAAGCACGTCGAGCAAAATCTTTTTTCCACAAAACAGAAGAGACCACGGGCTTTTCTTAGCGTTACCGAAAAGCTTATAGTACGCAATGTCTACAAATACGTATTTGAGCAGGAAACTGCTTCGGTATTACCTACAGAAGTACCGGGAAAAAAATATGTGTTTCTAAGACAGCTGAAATTTTGGGAATCGGTATGACCACAGTATTCAGTGTATTAGAAGAATAAAAACAAAACGAGCAATTTAAGTCTCCTGAAAAACTTGGACCGAAACATAATTTCATGAATAAATTAGACGATTTCACCTTTGCGGCTATAAGGCGAAAAGTACACCCCTTTTGCTTTTATGCAAACGAGGCACCCACCATTGCAAAGGTAACTTTAGTGTTATTTTTTTACATCTTTGCGCACGGTGCTAGGTGTGCGTAAAGCTTGTTATAGATACAGTGTGCGTGACGACGACAGTCGGCTCGCTATTACACAAATCAAAGCTGCATATTTCCACGCTCACATAACGTTTTTTTTTTTGAGGTTCTATTTGACTTTTTTCTATTGCGTAGACTTTCTTACCCATAATCTGTTTAAATTACAGATTCTTAAGGTTGTTAATGATGACCCAGATTTACCGAACTTCTCTTGGAGTACCTTGAGGAAAATGTGAAAATGCTTAAATTTCGAATATGCCACAAAATCAAGAAAAAGCGTGCTAATAGATAGACGCGATATTGTTTTGTGGCGCCGGCGATACCTTCAAAAAATTAAAGATTATCGCATGGAAGGAAGGTACATTTATTATCAAGATGAAACCTGGATCAACGAAGGTAATTAAAATTTTCTCTGTTTTATTTATCTATTACAGTGTAGGTATTGCATGCCACCGGTAAATTTAATGAGTATTTGGTATTTTTCATTTTCTCAAAGGTCATACACCGAAGAAGCAATGAATTGACCAGACTGTACAATCATCCCGGCAGGCATTCTTAGAAGCGTTGGTCGCCGGCTTGAAAGGGCCTTCAGGAAAAGGCAAACGGCTAATTATAAGCCATATAGGCGGGGAAGACGGATTCGTAGAAGATAGCTGACTTCTGTTTGAGGCTAAAAAAGGAAAAGAAGATTACCATCAAGAGATGAATGCTGAGTGTTTTGAGTAGAGGTTTAGTGGGGTTTTGCCCAAACTAAAACCTAATTCTTCGGAGGCACCTCCGCGCGGAGTTTCATGGCGTCATGCTCTGGAAAAATTGTTGCGCTCTGCCGACGACTCCACGTGGGTACTTATATAAATATATAGCTTATGTATATACTATATGCTATGTATCAATGTATTTACTGTTCTTATATGTATAGGTACATATTTACATGGAAAATATTTTTTTTGTATGAAGCTAAATTCCGGCAATGAACCTGTTAAAATAAATTTCTTTGTTTTTGTCACTCATTGCAGATTGTTGTTGAAAAAGCTTTCAACATAGACAATTAAAAAAAAAACATTTTTAAAAAATTTACGCAATTGTTGGCCACCTTAAGCATTCATATAAAGCGACAAACGAAGATGCTCAGAAATTAGATAATTTGCCTGAATATTGTTTCATTAGTTATTGAGTAACGCGTTGGAATTCTGCTTACGCCATGATTAAACGGCTATTAGAACAACGCCAAGCCGTTGAAAGTATATTGGTGGATTCTAATTTTACAAATACAGCAATGTCTAAAAAATTGCTTTTAAGCAATTTAGAATGGAATTATTTGAAAGGTCTACGCTGTGTGCGTGATCGTGTAAATATGCAGCCTTAGATTATTAACAGGTCATCGCGCGCTCTGACTAGATACCGCGCTACCTGAAAATAACAGCTCCGTGAATGCGGCAACTCAATATTAGTGTGCGTGAAAAATTGTATATGCCAGCAGCTTAACTATTACCCGATTAACCGGAAAATTTATTTTATGCTATGGCTTAGTAATTAAGTTCATAGTTATGAATGTAGACCAGAAATACTTAAAAATAAAAAAGGCCTCATTTTTATCAGTTTAATTTTGATATTTAAATGTCTGACTAATATTCACAAAATATTTTAAAAATATAGTTATATATTATATGGTGTAACCAAAATAATGCTTTCTATTTCTATTCTACGCGTCAATATGAAGACCTTTAACTATAGATATATCTTCGAAATCGCAAGAAAAATCAGGCCTTCCATACATTTTGAACAAGTTTGTACGAAATTCTGTATGGAATAACTGATTTTGAGATTTTTTTACAGGATCAGGGTGACGAACGAGCACACAGTCCATCTGATGGTAAGTAGTTGCTGTGGCTCATAAATATCTACATATATATTCGGTGAAGAATCAAAATGCAGATACGTTGCAACCCCTGAGGACTAACGTGGAATGCCTCGTTTCCAGTAAAAAGGGTCTTCGATTCTCTACACTCACCATACTAAACATAGCAGCGTTAAGCTGCTATTTTACACTGGTATTCTGTGAGAGCGTGGTCCTTCCCCGGTCGAGCCGACCCATTCGTGCTACAACTATACCAGTAATATAGCTGTAGTATGGCTCTACCACATATAAATTGAAAATTTCGAAGATGATCCCATAATCAGTGTAATTGAATCACTAATAACAGAGTATTAAAACCATTTGAAGTAGCAACAACGATAATCTCCAGTCAATCTAAGTCAACTATTAGAACGGTGCGGCCAGTTATTTATTCGATGATAGATAAATTTTTAAAACATGATGAAAAGAACGACTCTCCAAAAATTCGATTACTTAAAGAAGTATTTCAAGAAGAATTTGGATGCTCGATTTTTTAACGAAGACTGCGATTCCGTGTGTGCATTAGCCTCTTTTTTTGGATCATAGGTATAATTATTATTCGATACATTAACAAAAAATACCTTGATTAAAAAAATCTTGAACCAAGAAAATTATTTTACAAAAATTTAATTATCTTGAATTTACTTTTCTTTTATATATATTTCAGTTACAAGATATGGTCTATGAAACTCAAGAGTATTAAAAAGAGTAAAAGAATTTCTGAGATCATGGTCAAGCAAAATTTTAAAGAGACATCAGTAGTTGCCAATAAAAACAAAAGAGAGAAAAACTTGGATTATATTTTCAAATGTGAGATAGATTTATCTCAAAGTTTTGAGAGAATGGCAAGCTTTGAAAATGATAATTCAATTCCGGCTTAACGAGCTAAATTGTACAGCGCGACTGATTACCAATTAGGTCACACAAGAATGTACAAAAAGTTAACAGATCACCACATTTATGCAGAACGAATTAAAAAAATGAAGGTTATCGTAGCTGCCTAAGCTCTAAGTAAAACAACTAGTGCAATGCTTAGATACACTGCATTATTAAGTTTTTAAAAACTTTATTATCAAGTTGTACTATCTTAATAATATTTGTCATACATCACTTTAATATATGTATCTATGTAAATTATTTTAATTTATTGCAATTTATTGTATTTTTTTTGACTAAACAATAATATTGTTTAGTCAAAAAAAATTAGCAAATTGCCGTGTAGTGGCGGTCAAGAATATCCACTACCCCATATCCTCCCGTGGGTGTCGTAAAAGGCGACAAAGGGAAACAGCCAGGAGATGGGCAGCAGCATCTTCCTGATAATAGCCAAATTACAATAAAAAAACTGCGGTTGCCAACCCGCTCGCCAAGCGTGGCAACTATGGCAAATACCCCCCAATGATGAGAGCAACAAAAAAACGGCCCCCAGTCCCCGGCGGCCCCGCTATTCCTGGCTACGGTGGCGACCATGGTAACGGCGGGGCAGGGGGTGCTAAGAATCTCCGGTGGAGGTTCGGTTGCCAACTTAGACGACTCGACCTGGCAACGTACAACGCACGCACCCTGAGGACTGACGAGAAGATCGTGGAGCTGGAAGAAGAGATAGACAAGTTGCGCAGGCATATTATAGGATTATCCGAAGTCCGAAGAGAGGGGGAGGACACGGTAATCCTCGAATCCGGCAACTTGCTCTATCACCGGGAGGGCGACCATCTGTCCCAAGGAGGTGTCGGATTTATCGTCCACAAGTCTCTCGTTAACAACGTTGTAAAAATCGGGAGTGTGTCGACGAGGGTTGCGTACCTTATACTCAGAATCACCAAACGGTATTCGCTGAAGGTCATACAGGTTTACGCACCAACCTCGGCACACCCCGATGAGGAGGTGGAGGAAATGTATGAGGATATCTCTAGAGCCATGCATTCCTCCAAAACCCAATATACGGTGTTAATGGGAGACTTCAATGCAAAACTAGGCACAAGAGAGAACGGTGAGCTGAAAGTAGGGAAATTTGGAATAGGGCAACGGAACCCAAGGGGCCAGCAGCTGGCCGACTTCATGGAGAAAGAGGGACTCTTTATGATGAACTCTTTCTTCCAGAAGCGGCCCCACAGGAAGTGGACCTGGTCGAGCCCCGACGGTTCCACAAAAAATGAGATTGACTTCATTAT